GTTCTAACAGCAGCATTTGTAATATGTCCTCCATGGACCCTGCCTGGTTCGCCCGTACCCATCCGAGGGCTGCCCTTTGCCATCGGCAAGCCCATTCTGCATGCAAGTCATTTTCCGCTTTTTTCATTTCCCTGAAGCGCCTCCGGTATGCTCCTGGTGTGATGGCATACCGAGCCAGGATAACTTCTTTTACCTGGCTGTAATCCCGAATCTCTGTATCTGGTATAGAATGGTATGCTTCAGCGGCTCTCCCCGTTAACCGTCCTGCTAGGATGGAGACCCAATCTTCCATATTTGTTTTATGTAGCGTGAATAGTCTCTCAAAATCTTGGAGGAATGCGTCTATATCCGCTTCTACATACATTTTAAATGCGTGGTATGGGATCTTCGGCTTACCCTCTTGCGCCATAGACATTGCTGGGCTTCTTTCTGGTGTTTGTGGCCTTCTTTGCCGCATTATAAACTCCTGGACCTCTGTCATCGTCGTGGAGATGATCGCTATCGGTGGATTCTCCCCACAAAAGGACAGTCTGAATTGGAGATGCCTTTGGAACTCTGTTTGCTCCGCATCCCTCTGTTCGGTGACCGAATCGTCCTCAAGTATTAAAAATCCATAAGGCAATAATTCCAGCAGGCAGGACAATCCACTAATATCCCAATATCAATCCCAATGACTGGAAGACACAGCATCAGGAGCAGAACTGAACTTTTAATCACTCAACCTTCTTTTAAAGCTTTCTCCCATGCAAGGGAGGGATTTACAGTAATTACACAATACACCAATCATACATGAGTTGCCACCCACACATCCCCTCCCCTTAGTATGACACATAATCCCATTATGCAGTACACAGTTCCCCTGGTTTTCTTGATGTACCCCTAAACATAGGGTTACTATTACATCCCCCTGGTAGCCCTGATCTGGGTGAGAGACATATTCAAAAATTACCCAGATCGGAAAAGGGGTTAGGGAAATTCCTGGAGGTAATAAAAAGACCGACCGCGCTGGAGTTAACAGTCGAAAGGGGTTCCATACATTTTGGCCCTGCGGTCGGTCACACAAAAAGGGAATAAAATACACAAACTGCTTGGGTTATGGAGACTGGGGAGGATTCGGATAAACCCCCTTGTTCGCGGGGTTCTTTCTACCGAATGGGGAGCCGTTCGGTAGTTCCTACACAAATTGACGGCAGTGTGGAGGTCTCAGTGGTGTTTGTCTAACCGAGTGTCCGATTTGGGTTCCAGCAGGGCCGTCTTTAACAAGGGGCAAACGGGGCAGCTGCCCCGGGCCCAGTTGCTCCTGGGGGGCCCAAAGCAGCTGCCCTGTGGGCCCCCTGCCCGCAGCCAGGTCTGAACAGCCCACCGGAATACTGAGAAATATCCCGGTGGGCTGCAGCAGGTGATGTAATCAGGGGCCCCGGCCCTTTAAGAGAGCTCCTGACCGAGCCCCTGTCTTCCTGCCTGCTGAGAGGAAGTGTTTTGAGGTCACTTCCTCCCAATTAACAGAGTGCCGCTGGGGAGGAGGAGGCATACATGGAGAGCAGGAGGAGGTACAGACCAAGAAGAAGAAGACTCCCATCAATCTCAGCCATCCAGCTCCCACTGGACCACAGGGAAGCCACACTTCTGTAAAGGTAAGGAGGGTGGCTAAACTATGTGAATTCATATGACTCTGTGTCTCTGTGTGTTTGTGTCAGTGTTTGTGTATATCTGACTGTATGTGTGTATGTGTATCTGGCTGTATGTGTGTGTATCTGACTGTGTGTGTATCTGGCTGTATGTGTGTGTATCTGGCTGTATGTGTGTGTGTGTATCTGACTGTGTGTGTATCTGGCTGTATGTGTGTATATCTGACTGTGTGTGTGTGTATCTGACTGTGTGTGTGTATCTGACTGTTTGTGTATCTGGCTGTATGTGTGTGTATCTGGCTGTATGTGTGTGTATCTGACTGTGTGTGTATCTGACTGTGTGTGTGTGTATCCGACTGTGTGTGTATATCTCACTGTGTGTGTGTATCTGACTGTGTGTGTGTATCTCACTGTGTGTGTGTGTATATCTCACTGTGTGTGTGTGTGTGTATCTGGCTGGCTGTGATTGTATCTGGCTGTGTTTGTGTCTGACTGTGTGTGTGTGTGTCTGTATCTGACTGTGTGTGTGTCAGTGTGTATCTGGCTGTGTGTGTCAGTGTGTATCTGGCTGTTTATGTCAGTGTGTGTTTATATGGCTGTGTTTGTGTCAGTGTACATGTACCTTTGTGTCAGTGTTTATGTGTATCTGTGTGTATGTATACCTATGTGTCAGTTTGTATGTATACCTGCTTGTCTGTGTATATGTATCTGTGTGTGTATGAGTGTCAGTATGTGCGTGTGGCAATGCATACATCCCATCTAACATTGCACACAAATACAACCCTGCATTCCAACATTAACAATGCACACAAATACACCACTGCATGTGTATCTGTGTTCCTGTGTGTATCACTGTTTGTGTGTGAGTGCATCTGTGTGACAATGCATACATCCCAGCATTCCTACGTCAACACTGCACACAAATACATATGTATTTGTGTATATATCTGTGTCAGTGTGTGTAAGTGTGTATCTCTGTGTGTGGATGTGCCAGTGTTTTTATCTCTGTGTGTGCACGTGTATTTATGTATGTGGCTGTGTGTGTATACGCCAGTCTTTGTCAGTGTGTGCATGTGTCCAGATGTGTGCATATATCAGTGTGCTAATGTGTATGAATATCTGTGAATGTATATCATACATCACGGCAATCAAACACAACATGCAACCACACCCCTTCAAACATTACATACAAACACACCCCTGAATTCAAACTCAAAAAGTATATAGAAACACATCCCTACACTTAAACACCAATACTACACCCTACATGCACACACATACTGTATACAACAACATGCTCACATTCAAATGCACAAACACTGCTCACAAATACAGCCCTGCAAAAATGGACAAATGGTAGATCCCCAGCTGGCATAGCATCGTTGGAATTGTACAGATGAGGATCTATCTTTTCTCTGCTCTTGCGCTAGAGGGAAGGCTCAAAACAATGTCTTGCACCAGGGCCCTGTCTACATTAGTTCTGCCACTGTGTTGGGGTGGAGGGCGTGATTGCATGCCAGAGAGTGAAAGTGTGGGGGGAGGGCGAGGGATGGCAGGATCCAGGGGGCCCAAACAAATGCCTGCCCAGTGTCCAATCAATGTTAAAGACGGCCCTGGTGAAAAGCAAACCCAGAACTGGTGTGTGTTTTTTATAGGGCAGGGCAGCTGTATTGTATACTGTGTTGAACATCTATCACAACTCATATTGAAAACAGGCTATAATATGTCATAGTATGAAATGGCTTTACTATGTTGAATGTTTCCCCATATATTTTTGTCTTTAATCTTTGTATGCAATGTATGTATTTCTTCTTTTTCCTGTGCTTTCTTTGTGTCATGCTTCAATGCATTATTCAACAGAGCCAAACCACACAAAATGCCGAACAGGAAAGCTTTTCAAAATGTCACCTTTTTCAGTGCTAATGATTCATTGTTGTTACTAACATAGCAAAGTCTGTTAATGTAAATGGTGAAGTGTGCATGCACAAGATAACATGTAAAGAAAAATTAGTTCACACAGCATCCAAATACTCTTCTAATCCCTTCCAGACACGTCATAATACATTTCTTAACAATAGCATTGGATA